TGACATAATAATGTGCCTATTACATTACAGAGGCAATTGACTGAAATAATATTCTTTATAACCACAGTGATGAGTTATCTTCATACTGATTTCATAGCTATAGGTTAATACAACTTGTATTTTACCACCAAAATGAAATTTATGGGAGAGTGTTAATTGTACTCTTACGGAAAGTATATGGACTTGAAGAATTTCCATGACAAGAGAGGTGACTATTAGATCTTTGGGTTATGCATGCTTGTTTGTATGTATTTAATGTTAGTACGAACATTTTGATAAACAGATATGCATTGACTGATATAAAAAGCATCATTATCAAATATGGTGGAGCTATATTATGACTACTCATGATGATATGTATTTGATTATATCCTATGTTCTCAGACAGAGCTACTTATTGGAGGTTTCTTACATAATAAAGGTTGGTTCTGTCCCATGAGAATAGCAATGTCAAGGGTGTATTATACCACCTTTTGCATTAAAATACCTGCTCTTGGGCCAGCCAGTGGTGTGGTGGTTAAAGTGGGTGGATCTCACATGGCTGACTGTGCAGTTTGAGTCCCAGACCTGGTGGTGGCTTGCAAAAAATATGCTGAACATCTGTGCATGTGTGTCCAAAATCTTAATGGGAGAGAGAAATGGAAAAGGGATTGTGGTGTGACCACCCCATTTCCCCTGCTCCCTGAGGGGGCAATTTCTCACTTTCTTTCTCTCTCTCCTGCAAGCACAGGTGCCCTCTAGCAAATTAAAGAAAAACTGTTTATTATAGTTTCAACCTTTCTTTTTTTGGCAAGTCCTTGACTTTTAAAGAAATTAAACATTGCTTGGGTTATAATTCATTTTGGCCAGATTTCTGCTCATTTTTCTACTGATTGTCAGGCACTCAGAGGTGAGAAGAAAGACTTTCTAGCAGCAGCAGCAAAATTTGGAATAAGGTGACAGAAGGATCAAAGCATATAATAACCTGTTCAAAGAAGTGAGCTTTATCCGTATTTATTTCCCACTTGCAAAAACCTTCCTTTTAAGCAATCAACTTTGGTGTAGCAGTATTAAAAAACAGGTTTTCAAAGAGAAATTAGCAAGGTTGAGGTAAGAGAATTGATGAAAGAATAGTTTATATTTATTCAGGATGATCTACCAATACTGTACTTATAACAATCTGTGTTTAACATGGCAAATTGTCTGTCATTAAAATGCTAATGAAATGGTAAACAGCTGCTAAGTTTTTTATGCTAATGAATGGTGACAGCTAAGTAGTTTTCAAGCCTTGTCTTTATTAGCATAGAGATTTGATTGGGTAAGAGGGACCGTTGTGCATTCTGACCTTTGTTGATGGAGCAATCTGTTGTCAAGCTCACCACTGTGTTCTATTTGATTTGGTGTGTTAGTACACATAACTTTTGTCAGCTCTTAAGGGCCCTGTATTACACAATGCTATCAGAGCCACCAATGTAAGCTAACGGAAAAAACTTTGCTTCTTTTTAAAAGACCCACAATGGAAAATAATTGCAAATTTTTTCATCAAGCAACTTTAAGTAGAATGATTCTGTATATTAACACTTTCTACTTTAGATTTTTAATAATTATAGAATAATAAATTATGAAGAGTCATTGGTCTCATATAAAACATCTCTCTATTCAATCTCTATTTCAATTTAGCTGGATTTAGAGCAAAGCTTTTAAAATAAATATTTTAATAAGTGCCTCTAACATTTGACATATTGATACAATACATCATCTTGGATCTGCAAGCACAGAAGTTAGCAATGATATAATTTTACCTAATTAGAAGAGTAATCTATAATAAAATACAGGGTGGTTATGTGAATTTCAAGATGAGATCAGAGTATTTATGTGGGCGTTAGAAAATGGTCTTCAATCTACATTTTTGGTTGAATCCCTTTTTGCTGGGTCCTACCCTAGATTACCTACTGGACAGAGCTAACCCGAAGACTTGTCATTACACATAAATGCCCTTCACTTTTTTTCTTTCTGTTTTCAGGATCAATGTAAATGAGATATGACAGTTCATTAAACACTATTGCCAATAATGTTCTAGAATGATTTGAAATATGATGTGGAATTTATTAAGGATATTAATTACCCAAAATGTATCATTGAAATAGGAATTATAATGGTTTCGGGACACTGTGTAAAAGACTGATGGAAATTTTAATAGTTGGAGGATTTTTCTCATACTGCTCATTTTTCTTTGAAGTCAGTAGGGGCCTTTAGGCATATAATCATTTATAGTCGTATCTAGGCAGGCCAGAAGTTAGAACCCTCATACACTGCTGGTGGTAATATGAAATGGTTCAGCTTCTTTGAAAAACAGTTTGATAGTTCCTCAAAAGGTTAAACCATATGGCTAGCCTAAGACCCAACAATTCCCTGAATTCTATTCCTAGATTTGTATCTGAGAAAACTGTTCTGTATTAGCTCCAAATCTTAGAGGGCTTACCCATATCATGATGTTTCTGATTCCAAAGAATATACCCAGAGACCTAGAGGGGAAGACATGAGTTTATTTACACTGGGGAAAACAATGTTCTGCTCACTGCCAGGTGGGAATGGTCCCTAGCATCATGAGCATAGGCTCAAGTCTTATACCCATAAGAACAAAGCATTCATAAATCAATTATAGGCCAATGTAGATTCCTTGTCACCAAGACAGGAGGTTTGAAGATACATTTGCTTGAAAGTTACAGTAAAAAGTCAGCTTATCAATGAACAGAATCAGTAGAGTATGCTTAGATATAAGTGCCACTAATTTTGTGATGTTAATGTGGAGGGGGTGCACATACTTCTGGAATGGCCCAGCTATAGGCCAGTTCCATGAGGTGAAGGTCATGGTCACAAGTTGTTCAGGAGGCCCAGTCAGACCAGTAGTCCTTTCTCATGGAGAAAAAAAAAGGGGAGGGGGTGGGAGAGAGCACTATATATAGAATCTGCCTTCACCCGGAAACATATGGCCACATAAACATCTATAAACATTTGTTCACATTAGCGTTATTCATAATACCCAAAATGTGGAAACAATCCAAATACTCATCAGCTGATCAATGGATAAGCAAAATATGAGACTTTGTACAGTGGAATATTGTTTGGCCTTAAAAGGAATGACATTCTGATACATGCTATAACATGGATAAGTCTTGAAGACATCATGTCAAAAAAAAAAAAAGAAGCCCATCACAAAAGACTACATATTATATGATTTCATTTAAATAAAATGTCCAGAAAAAAATGTATATACACAAATGATAGATTAGTGGGTCCAGCCACATTGGTGTATTCTATTGGCACTGAGTCCCATAGGTTGGGACTACTCTCAAGAGGACTGGATTCAATTCCCAGTCCAGACTGGAGGCCAGGCACAGTGGTGCACAACTGTAATCTCAGCAGCTCAGGGAGGCTGAGTCAGGAGGTTGTGAGCTGGCCTGGGCAACATCATGAGACCTTTCTAAAAAGTAGCTGGGTGTACTGGAGTGCCTCCTGTGGTCTCAGCTGGGAGGCCAAGGCAGGAGGTTCACCACATGAGACCTTGTATTCAAAAAAGAAGAAGGAGGAAAGCAAGAAAAAAAGAGAAGTGAAGGAGGGATGAGAGAGAAGGAAGGAGGAACAAAAGAAAGAAGGGAAGAAGCAAGAAAAAAAGGAAAGGAGAGGAGAGAAGGAAGGAAATTAGTGGTCTCCAGGAGCTGGGAATATTGGGAAAAAAATTGGGAATGACTGCTAAAGGATACAGGGTACTTTGGGAAGAAAAAAAATTCTAAAATTGATTGTACAACACTATGAATATGCTAAAAATCATTTAATTGTTCAAAATAGGTAAATTGTCTGATATATGAATTATATCTCAATAAATCTATTATATTAAAAGAGAAAGAGACAGAGAGACAGACATGCCAGAGCCTATCTCTCCAGGAGTCACCAGTACCTTGGTTACTTATTTGTACTATGTGGAAGCTCTGACTAAAGAAGAATGCATCTTACTGAAGAGAGTATTTTTAATCTCCTACTCACATATTAAACTAGATATCTGAAGGTGACAGGTGAACCACCAGGTGGCATGGTGGTTAAGGCACTGGATTTCCACATGGCTAATCATGGTTCGAGTCCCAAACCTGGTAGCTTCCTTTCTCATTTTCTCTTTCTCTAGTGAACACATATGCTCTATAGCAAATTTAAAATAATAAGAAGAAGAAGAAGAAAAAGAAGAAGAAGAAATATAATTAAATATATAATTCTTTTTTTAAAAAAAGAGGTGGCAGCTAATATACTTAGGTGGGATGGTTCCTAAGATAATGCAAAACACATTTTAAATAAAAGTTAAAGATAAACATTGGAATTCCTGTTCCAACGGCTCCCTGTTCCCTAATACCCTGTCCACATCTGTGCAATAACAGTCCTATTAGCTTCCGTAACTTCCCAACGTCTAGACTGTCTATTTCCCACAAAGTAAGGGGGACTTTCACTTTTGTTCTACTTAAGAAAACAAACTGAGTCATAACTTTCTTGAGATCAGACTACATGTAAGAGTCAAAATTTCCTTTCTCTTTTATAAACCCTATAATTATCACTGATTTGCTTAAAACATACCAGTTAGCCATTCAGTAATTCTGAGTAATAAAGAGCATCTGGTTTGAAGAGGTTTCTGCCTCTTCTCCCCTGCATTTTAGGCTAGTTAAAACGCAATGGGTTAGACAGCAGGATGTTTTCATTCAGGGCCACCTGTCAATAAGATGTGTACTATGTATTCTTGACTAGTCTGAGCAATCTTAATCCTCTCCATAGGGAACATTCTGGATCGCTCTCTTAGATCATGAGGAAGAAGATTGTTTTAAACCGTGTACTGGGCCATTTGCTTACTTCCAGCATAACTCTCTTGCTTGCAGGTTGCAGTCAATGGTCTTGGTTTTGCTCTGCACCATAGGTTTGGGAGGGAAATGACTGTAAGTGAGAGACTGAATTCGTTTTTATGTGTTGTTTTGTATTGGCAGGCAGTACATGCCACACTACCGCCCTTCCTGCTCTTGTGCGCACACCTACCCTGATGGTGCAGCCTTCCTTGGATATCAAACCATTCATGTCTTTTCCAGTGGACAGTAGTTCTGCTGTTGGGCTCTTTCCAAATTTTAACACAGTGAGTAAACACATTTTTATTTTATTTGTACCCCCCAACCTTTCTTTCATTACCTTTGGGAATAGGCAATGGATATAGCCTTTTTCCAAAGTGTGTCATTGTAGCTCAGCAGCGCTCTGAAAGATGATGGTTCACCCATAGGCATTTGTCCAAACAGTAGCCAATTAGGCCCAAAACTTGTATGTTTATTTTGGAAATATTTCTATAGATGACTTTTACCTGTTGCTTACAAATTTTAACAGGTTTTTCAGTGGTTTTAGAACCTATATCTTTTCTGGGATGCTACACACGTGCTCAAGAACATAATTTAGAGATATAAACCACATTGATTTTTCCCTACTACTAGAAAGAAAAAAAATGGCTATAGGCTTTATTTCTCTGGTGCATTTTTACTAGAAAGATACTTTTAGATAAAGTATGACTCTTATACAAACAGAACTTTTATTTGGGGGCTATTGTGGATTATGGGAACCTGACTCTACCAGTGAAAAGAAAAAAAAAAAAAAAAACACCTCATTTTAAATCTGCATGTTAGTTACCTGTATGATGCTTTTACATTCCCTTTAAAAATAATGAAAAACATTAGTCACCTGCCTATGTTGACCAATATTCATCACTCAGGGCAGTGGACAGGTTCATGTCTGCCTGAAGGACCTTTTGTGTGAATGCCAGTGGAGGTGGCATCTTGCTACAATAGAATTCAGCATAAAGTCAGTCTGTAGCCAAATTCTAAACTTAGAGCAAGAGAAAAGTTCGAACAGTTCAGGTGATTATATGAATTATGCCTGTTCTGTTGGTAAATACACTCAGTTGGGGCATGATGGCTTCAATGAATGATACAGCATTATAAATACTGCTGTAATAAAAACAAAAACAAAAACAAAGAAGAATCGCATTATCAACACCACCAGACAGCGAGCATCTGAAGTACTGCCAAATGTCTTCTTTTGTAAACTTATCTTCTGTATGAAGTGAAAACAGCAAGAGGATTTTTCCTCAAGGATTGTAAATAAAATCTGCTGACAGGCCCTCTGTCTGGGCTTAGTGCTGTGAGGTAATTAGGGGGTGGTGGATCAGCCAACTTTCTAAAGAACACTGGCCTTCACTTAGTGAGTAAACAGTTGAATGTTTTGTCTTCTCTGGGTTTTTCAGAGACAAGGCAAACAGTTAAAAGAAAAGAAAGCTCCAAAGGTGAGCATCATTTCTAGTGCAGTGAAGCAGCTCAGTAAGATAAATCACACCTGCCAGGGTCACATTCATCTCCTGGGAGAAAGCCTCCCAAAGCACCACACTGCGGCTTCGGAGAGCTTGAACCCCAGCATGCCTGTTGTATGCTCTATCAAGGTGTGTGAGGCCTTCCCAACATAAATGAATTAAGCTATACTTCTTAGGATATATACTAGGCATTTGTATTTTGATTATTGCACCTTTAGAGACAGCATACGTAACCATTGCATGTGGTGTCCATCCTTCTAGCCCCCTTCATGGAAGCACGTTAAGTGCATAGCCAATAGGCACACAGCCCTGCTTTTCTTTTCATAGCTGCAATCACACAATTAGCACTATTCTGTAAGTCACTTTTTCCAGCTATCAAAATGTCTTAAATCTATCTCTCTGTTTTTAAGGGCTATAAAACAGTAATGGAGAGGATACTTTCATCAAGATTTTAAAGTATAGTTTCATAATGGCTTGGCAATGTTGCATAGGGTTCCAGATGCACTACGTGCCCTTTTGTGGTTTGATTAATTATATAAAACATTTTATCTTATTGTATATTTTAGAGAACTCAAAGAATAATTCTATTTATAGAAATTCGTGTTTTTCCTTCTTGGAAGAAAATAAACTTGTAATTTTTAAATAAAAATACTATTTAATTAAAGTGACAAATACTGAAAAAAAAAACAACCTGCCTGACATACTTATTTTGTGCTCTTTATACTGTGTCCAGAGCACTTATTACACTAAGAATCCTTACCGTAGTGTATTAAAAAATAAGTTATTTGGGGGCCAGCAGGTGGTGTAGTGGTTAAGGTGCTAGACTCCCACATGACCAACTGCAGTTTGAGTCCAGGACTCAGCAGCTTGAAAATCCCTCTGGGCATATGTGCACGTACACCCAAAATCCCAGGAGGAGACTGGAGGAGAAGGGATTGTAGCATGGTCATTTCCCCAGGGTGTGATTTCTCACTTTTCTTCTCACTGTTCCTCTCAGTCTCAGGCAAATAAACATGCCCTGTGGCAAAAATGTTAAAAAACAAAAAAACCCTTCAGTCATTCCAGACCCAACCATGGTGATAAGGTAGAACATGGCCACTGTGAATATGGAGCTGTACAGGATGTTAGGCTTGATTTGGGATCGGCGGCGGAGTCAGAGGCGGCAAAGACAAAAATACCAAAGTCAGGCCTTGGGGTTTAATAAAACCAGCAAAATTTATTCTTCAAAAAGCTCTCAGATGAGGTCCCTCAGTCTGGTCAGAGGCCAAAGGGGTCACACGCAGGGTGGGTGATGCTCATTCTTAATGAGCCATTGTCTAATAGGTGGTCACCACAGGTCCTTGTCTGGCCAATGAAGGTCGCTGTTTCTGTTCAACATTGGTGGGCAAGCCAAATGCTGAAGGGCGGGAAAGTCCGTTGGGGATGGTGGGCCAGATGTGGAAAACAGGAAAGTTCCTACCTGCGGGGAAGTTTCTGCCTATCCCCAGACCTTACACGGGAAGCCTGGGTTTCAGTACTGGGTTGACCTGAACATGCTGGATGCACTTATGTCCATGACCCTGACTGGCTAGGAGGTTGAGGGAGGATGATGGCATGATGAAACTCTTTCAAGGATGCCTGTCTGTCTATCTGTCTCTCTCTCTCTCATTAAAGGAAGAAGTATAGTAAAAACCTTAGCACAGCATTAATGGGACAAAAAAATGGGGCATTATCTGTTGAGGATAACTCTTTATAGAATTATTAACTGGACTGGGGAGAAATCTACACATGTTTAAATATTCACTTTGCAAGCTAAATAACACGATTGAATGTATAAAAGAACTCAAAATAAAATTTTTAAAAATTACAAATTAAAAAGAGAAAGTTGAGTAGGACCCCTCAAGGTCTTTATAAGATGATAATCTTGTAAAGAAATTAGGGGCCAGCAGGTGGCATGGTGGTTAAGGATGCTGGACTCCCACATGGCTGACAGTGGTTCAAGTCTGAGACCTGGTAGCTTGTTTTCTCACTTCCCCTCTGGCTGTCCTTCTCTGATCAAATTAAAATAATAACAATAAATAAAGTTAAATAAAATAATTATTTTTTAAAAAGAAATTAGTTTATTCAGATCATTGGATTACATGTGATTTTTTAATCACTAGTTACAATTTAAATTTTTTTCTTATAGTCATTTTCATTCCAATGTCTAATTCACTCAAATAAAATTTACTAGGGAAATTTTATGAAAATAATTGTCCACATGGCAAAACACTGTTACAACAGTACTAATGATTACACTGGATTATTGTATACTTGGGTTGTTTTATATCCTTAGATGTTTTACATCCTTAGTCCTCCTTTTGAGGATTTAGACCTCAAAACATTTCAGTAGGCCATGATTAGTATTCCTATTGTCTGGAGGAGGAAAGAGAATTATTATAGGAAGAACTGAGGCTTTAATTAGAATCTTTAACTTTGAAACTCAAATTCTGGCTTTTCTCATCCTTGGCTCTTCTGTTCTCTGTCACCTCCCACCTCATTTGTTATGAACAAATTTCAATCATAAGTCTTTCTTACTCTTTTCTGGAAGCATGGTAGATCATTTTCAATAGACAGATTAAGTAAAAAATATTTTTTTGAAATTATAAAAATATTTTTTGCCTCTGAAACAGTATCATAAAGCAGAATATATTTTAAAAAAAATAGCTATAATTTCTTGATGGCAAATTTTAAAAACATATTATACTTAATAGTCTACTTATTCTTTAAAACCCAAGGTGAATTCTATTATATCACTTTATTTTTAAACAAGGCTAATATTAGTAAATATAAGAAATGAGGTCTATTTTCATCTTGTAATTATTATCAGAAGAATGAAAACACTGTGTTCTGAGCCCATGCCAAAAGTTCTGAACTTTTAAAGTTTTACTATTATTTTCTTTAGTGGATTTAAAAATATAAAGTAATAATTTTCACCATTTTTATAGTGGAGTATGGTAATGTTACATGAGAAACACAGCAAAAAATGAAGTGAGATTCTGGCATATTCCAAAATACAAGTTACCTAGTCTATGCTAAGTTTTTATAATGCAGAAATATGCTTCACAGCATTCATTTAGTGATTGTCTCACCTTACATTCCACAACTGACAAAAATCTTTCTTAATGCTTATGCATGAAGGATAAACAGATAATTCAAGACTCTGTCCAAGCAGAGTTAGAGAGATATGATAAGGAAGATAGAGTTTGGACCATTGATAATTGATGGTGGGCTATATGCCAAGGATGAATGAGTAGAGAGTAGTGACTGACATTAACTCTACACTTCAGCTCTTGGACTTTACAGAGGTGCTGTTTTGAGTCATTTATAGATAAAAGACTCTACCAACCTAAACATAATTTTTTAAAGATTTTAAGCCTTTATTTCTTAAAGCCTAATAGACTTCTCTGCCTGATTACCAATTAATGCTTAATTCCATCACTGCCACCCCACTTTCAACTATATGTTATTCACAGCGCAATTTAGATATCACCTCCTTCACAGGAAGTTTTGTGTGACGCTTCAAGTCTAAATTGAGTCCCGTTCTGTTTCCAAAGTACCTTCCAGATTACTTCAGTTATCAAAGCGTAGTCTAATTATCTGATTATCTGTCATCTCACTTGAACGTCAGATCTTTACAGACAAGAGTTATATCTTGGTCATCCTAAAATGTTTTGTGTTTGATACAGGTGCATTATAAAATTTTTTAAGAGATTTTTTGCTATAGGATGTGTGTGCTCACCATAGAGACAGATAGAAAATGACAA